GAACACAGAGGGATGTTGAATTTTGTCAAATGTCTCCCCTGTATCTATTGATATAATCATATGTTCTTTTCCCCTCAGTCATTTAATATGGGTGATTAAGTTGATTGATTTTGGAACATTGAAATGGCTTTGCATTTCTCCACTTTGTTTTAGTGTATTATCCTTTTCATATTGTTGATTTACTTTGCTAATATTTGATAAGAAATTGTGTGCCTTCGTTTATGATGAATATTGGTCTGCAGTTTTATTTTCTTATACTATTTTGGTATCAGGTTTGTGTTAGTTTTATAAAATGAGTTAGGAAGCATTTCTTCCTTTTGAATTTTTTGGGATAAATTGTGTAGATATTTTCCTTCAGTATTTGGTAGAATTTTCCAGTGAAACTATCTGGACCTGGAATTTTCTTTGTTGGAAATTTTTAGCTAAGAATTCTGTTTTTTTAAAAGAACATGGAACTATTCAGGTGATGTATTTTTTCTTGAGTGACTTTTGATAGTGTCTTTTGAAAATTTATCTATTTTATTTAAAGTTGTTGAATTTACAGGCAGAGTTATTAACAGTATTTCCTTATGACCCTTCTAATATCTGTAGGGTTTGTAGGAATATCACCTCTTTCATTACTACTCTTGGTAAGTTGTGTCCTTTCTCTCTCATCCTTTTTTCTCTCCCTCCCTCTCCACAACATCACTTTTTCCATACTCCCTCTTTTGGTTAGCCTGGATAGAAGTTTATCAATTATATTGATCTTTCCAAAGAACCAATTTTTGGTTTCATTGATTTTCTTATCTTGTCCTGTTTTTGATATATTTCCATATTTGATTTCATGTATTTTTATTCTTATCTTTATTATTCTCTTCCCTGTTTTTGCTTTTTGTATAGTTTGCTCTTATTTTTCTAGTTTCTTAAGGTGAAATCTTAGATTATTTACTTGAGAGCATTCTAGCATTTAGAGAATGTAATGCTATACAATTTCCTCTAAGCACTGCTTTACCTGAATCCACAAAATTCAATCTATTTTACTTTCACTTTCATTTACTTCAAAATATTTTATTATTTCCTTTGAGATGGCCTTTTTGACTCATGGGTTATTTAGAAGCATGTTTTGAGTTTCCAAATTTTGAGAATTTTCCAGATATCTGCTACTGATTTCCATATGGTCAGAGAACATACTTTTAATGATTTGAACCCTTTTAAATGTGTTGAAATTCATTTCACAGCCCAGTATATGATCTGTCCTGGTGAATTATCCAGATGCACTTAAAACTAATATATATATTTTGCAGTTTTTATTTGGAGTTTTTTACAGATGTCATTTGGTCAAATTGTTTAATAGTGTTTGAGTCTTCTATAGCCTTGCCATTTTCTACTTGTTCTATTGATTATTGAAAGAGGAGCATTAAAAGTCTCCAACTGTAACTGAAGATTTGTCTGCCTTTCCTTTCTGTTTGATCTGCTTTTGCTTCATGTATTTTGAAGCTTGATTTGAGATACATGTGTATTTATAATTTTATATATTTTTTGGCAAATTGACCCATTAATAACTACATAATTTCCTCTTTATCATGTGTAATTCTTCTTGTTCCAAAGCCTACTTTTTCTACTGTTAATATAACATGCCAGCTTTCTTTTGATTGACATGTGCATACTATATCTTTCCTCACTCTTTTACTTTTAACCTATCTACATCATTAGGTTTAATGTGGGCTTCTTGTAGATAGCATATAGGTGGGCCTTTACAAAATTCAAACTGGATTGACAGTTCTTTCAGCATTAAAAAAAGATTGAGAAACTGTTCCAGTCACTTCTGGTTTACATGGTGTCTGATGAGAAATCTAAAGTCATCCAAATCATTTTCCACTCTATGTAATGTGTTGATTTTCTAAGGTGCCTTTCAAGACTTTTTCCTTTATATTTGATTTTCATCAGTTTGATCACTTTTTTTCTGCCAATGGTCACCCCTTTCCTGTCCCTCTGGTAGGGATTGAGGCAGAAGATTTCTCCTGCAGCTTTTTCAGTCCACGTCCATTTCGCAGTTTCCAAAGCTGCTCTTTCCTGGAGTATAAGCCGAGAGATACTCACTGCCATATTAACTGTCACTTGAGTTTAGATTTCTCTCTTCAATTTGCCTGATATAACTTATTTTTCAGAGTCCTTATATGTTTGCATCATGATTCTGTCCAGGGTTGCTAGTTATGACGAGTGGGAGAAATAGGGTGGAGTGTGCTTACTTAGTCAGAACTAGCAGCTGGAAGAGTGACTTTTAGTGAACCTGAAAAGAAGGAATGTAAACCTCAATGGCTTGGAGTTGAGGAAACATGTAAAATAGTAAGACAAGGGCCTAATCCCCAACCCCTGGTCAGGAATTGGGAAAGGAGACCTATTAATTTGACTAGAGATGCTTTTAGGGTCTGTGAATGGATACAGGTTCTGTAAGTAGCTGGTACCTTTCAGCCAAGAACTAGAGCCTGAAAATGTCTGTCTCTCTGACTCACCACTCCCCTATCTTTGGGTACCTGATAAACAATTTTATACTTGAAGAATTCACTGCAGTGAATATCAGAGTATAAACAAAAGGGTTTGGAATTGAGATGATGCATTTTGTTTAATATAAAGTGGAAAAAATAGAAGGTAACAGACAAGATGATTGTAATTGTGTTTCATGTTTTCTGTGATTGCATCTGGGTGAATAATAAGCAATAAATGGACAGAGTTGTCTAAAAATTAAATTGCTCATGTTGGGGGAGTGAAGGAAATGAGGTTGTGAGTGTCTTTTTGTTTTATTTTTCAAAAATTTTCTTAATGTGGCTGCTATGGTTTGAATGTCCACTCTAAAAAGTCATGTTGAAAGTTAATCCCCAATGTGGTAGCATCAAGAGGTGGAATCTTTAAAAGGTAATTGGGTCACGAGAGCCCGCAGGAATGAGTGAACGAATTACTGGGTTATCATGGGAATGGGAGTGGTGGTTTTATGAAAAGAAGAGGGACTCCAGTGAACACAGCCCTCTCACCATGTGATTCCCCATGCCACCTCAGGACTGTAGAGATCCCACCAGTAAGAAGACCCTCATCAGATGTCCCTTTGACCTTGAACTCTTCAGCCTCCAGAACTGCAAAAAAAAAAATAAGTTTCTTTTCTCTATAAATTACCCAGCTTCAGGTATTCTGTTATAAGCAATAGAAAATGGAGTAATAAATGGCTCTATGAGCATTTTAAATGTAATATAACATGTAAGAATAATTCCTGGCCTATTGCCTGATAGTCATATTTTTCCCCATTCTATTTCTGTCACTTATTTTGGAAGGTTTTCCTGATTCTCACCTCTCATCCCAACCATCCCTATATTGCTATATCACTGTATCGATGACACTTTACTGTGAAGTACAGTACTGATGACAACTTTACAGTTAATGCTTTGATTTTCTGTCTTCTCTGGTAGACATGGGCTTTTGCAGGTGAGACCAGTGTGTTTTCTTGCTTACTGATACATCTGTAGTATGTAGCTAGTGCCTGGTCTGTGGTAGGTACCTAGTAAATATTTATTGCCTAGATACTCAAGTCTCCAAATAAAAGAGAACACCAAAAAGTGAACGTTTTTATTTTACATTGCATGTGGTTCCTTTGGTCTCAGACACTTTTGGAAGCCACACCTCACTTTCTCTTTGTTTTAACAAACACTGTCCAAATTTTTCAGGCAACCCAAAGCGGATGGCACAGTGCCTTGAGTTGGCAATTAACCAAAGGGATGGCCCAATGATGAAAGAATACTCCACAGAAAAGGGAGCTCAGAACTCAAGTTTTGGCTAAGGCTGCCATTGTTAAGAATGATCTGAGGAAATCCAAGGGATTATGGCCAAAAGGATTCTAGTGGTACTGCTAAGTCAAGTCCTCTCTGGCCCTACTGCTATGAGATACCAAATTCAAGCAAACTGGTGCTAATTCAAGTGCACTGTAATTTACTTTAGGGCACTTTGTTTTAGAGGCAAGTATAGGAAATCACCCAAACTACAAACCACATATTACAACGGCAGGCTGCAATTGGTTCTGACCCAAACAACCCTAGCGTGTAAGAATTAGAAGAGCCCTTCAACATATCTATTCCAAACACCGTCCTCCAAAGTTGATACAGATTTTCTCAGCAAGAGTCAAGATGAGAAATCACCCAGTCTTCACTTGGGCACTTAGAGTGATGGTGAACTTCCCATATTTCAAGACAGTTCATTACCTTTCTAGAGAAATCTCTGCTAGACTTGGTAAACATGAGGTTTATATGCTGACACTCTTGGCCACACGCTTGTGGCAGGAATCACCAATTAAGCACAATGTTTCCCCCCGACCCCACCAAGCCTACATTTAGCTTTAGAATCATTCTCAATATTGTTTTTCATTTGGATAGAGGTCAGTCCCTGCTATAGGTACTGGAAGTTAGGTCTTCCACACATTGCTCTTCTTCATGTTCTCTGTGAGCACACAGGATTCTAATAGTCTGGGGCAAGGACGGTGTCAGCCCTGAAGTCTTGAGCCCATTATTGGAACACAGTTTGGGAAAGACAAAATCTGCAGGCTGGTGGGGTGGTATTAAGTTCTCTAAAGCCTGAGCTCCACAAGGCAAATATTGGAAGAGGCATTTCGTAGGCACTATGAATAGTCTTTCCACTGACTTCTGAAAACCTATATCTGGGATGAAAGCCTAGGGTCATTGAGGTGCTGGGACTCAGGTCGAGGACAGGTCAAGGTTGCTTGTAGTAAAGCTGAAACTAGAACCTCAATCTGTGATTTCCAGTCCATTGAGTTCCCTATCAGACAAAATTGTTTTTCTTTGATAAAGCATTAACATACTATTTCCCCAATTTCATTTTGAAATCATGGGTTGAGTCATGATGAAGGCAGGTCATCAACCTACATGGAAGAACATTGGGCCTACTGAAACATAGAGTGATTCCCTGCAGCTTCCAGAAGAGTGTGGGAGATTCAGTTGTGAATAATGCTAACAGTTGCAATGTTAGATTAGTACAGGTTTACTTGTAAATACTTAATAATGTAAAAGACTTGCATAGCTCCAATTCATTTAAGCCTCCCAATAATGGTTAAATTTTTAGTCTCCTGAAAAGTGAGATCATCCATTTAGACAATCCTGTTTTTGACATAATTGTCCAACGTGGAGGAGTCTTGTTCAGGCCTTCCGTTTGTCTTATCATCAGTGACAGCAGAGTCAATTTTCTCTTCTGGTGGGTATGCTTTGTTCCTTTTGGAAAATGCCTGGCTGATTTCTGCATGCGTTCTGTTTTTGGTCTCAGGTAAGACAAAGTATAGGTAGGAGGCACCTGAGATACAAATTGTAGCAAAGACTAGGAAACAGTAGGTGTCCAGACTTTTCTGCGGAAAAGGCAGAGATAAAAACCATCAAAGACAGTCAGTAAACTTGCTGTTAAATCATCTCTACGCAGATTTTTAAAATAGCTCCATATTCATACCCCAGCACTCCTAGACACAACACCATGTGTGATGCCGGCTCTCTAAGGCAAGTGTGCTCTACACGGAGTGTTCTCACATAAGGCTTGAGTAAGTCAGCTTCAGACTCTGGTAGAGATGAGAAAACGGCACTTTTGTTGTTGTTGTTGCAAATTTGGCATTTAAGAATTCATCATCATGAAAGCAAAATGGAACACTTGCTGAATATTAGCTTAAGCTTATATTTACAATCAACCACATTGTCTCCTTGCTTCTGCTATACACGAGGCAAGAATGACAGCAAAAGGGAAGAGAAGTGCCCCAGTTCATAATAAGAATGTGAAGCATAGACTAGGCCAAGGTAATGCCAGGTTTTCTGACATGCAAATGGTCTAACTCACTGATTGATACTCTGAGACAGCTTTGCACAAATAAGAGAGACAAGAAAAAAATAGAAACGTTTGCTGCAATCACTGTTTCATGTACCCTGATTAGTGCTTGGTCTAGAATAACCCTGCCAACTGCACTAGTCCTTGAGCTTCTCAGTGACTTCGTCACCTCTGTGGCTCTTGTGCCTTATAAGACATACTCAAGAAATGTTTTTGGAATAAAAGACTTGAACTTCTAGCCTGAAGCAATTCTTCTGCCTTGGTCTCCCAGGTACTGGGATTATAGGCATGAGCCAGCACTCCAGAAATAAAAGACTTTCTGGGTGCCAGCTCTCAGGATTGTGACTATGATATGCAACAAACATCTGTTGATCCAAAGATAAGGTGACACTGTCTTTGAATGATACTTTCCAAGAAGCAACATCCAGACTTTAGTCAATTCCATTCTATCCCTTGATTTGGCACATTTATTTTTGGAGAATGGCAGAGAGCTTAAAGCTTGATCTCTGGATCACAACCTAGATTACTATTCACTTAATCTGAGACTCTTTGTGCCTCAGCTTTCGTGATCGAATGGTACATGTAGGGTTGTTGTATGAATTAAATGAGATATTTCCTTTAAAGTGCCACATGTAGTAAATGTATCACACCTGGGGGTGCTTAGCTCTGAGACCATGCCTTCTGCTAATACAAAGACTTCAAGAGCAATGTGGAGAAGGTGGAGTGTATGGGCTCTGCAGCCAGTCGAGTGGGATTCAGATCCTGATCCCATTACTCATATGTTGTTCTAACACTTGGGATGTGCCATTTAAGATAGAACTTCAATCCACTGAGCATCTGTTTCCTCATTTGCAACATGGTGATATATACCCACATACTGTTTTGAAGATGAAATGAGATACATCCAATTTTGCATTCAACACCCTCCACTCCCCAACCTGCATGCTGAATGGACATCTGACTTACCAAGTCCAAAGTGGAGCCTCTAAAACTTTGCCTGCTCTATCCTTCCTCATCTCTGCTGATGGCACCTCCATCCTTCTAATTGATTAAGGAAACAAAAACACTTGGAGGCAGGCTGAGCTTCTCTCTCTCTCCCCCCTCCTACTCCTGTCTCTCTCTTCCACCCACAGCTGCTCCATCAAGAAGTCATGTTGCTCTACCTTGAAATATAATCCAAATCTAAGGGTTTGTCACCACTTCTACTGCAACCCAATTTTGGTGCAAGCCACCATCATGTTTTGCTTGGATTTTTGCAATACCTTGTCAACTGATTTCCCAGCTTTTTGTTTTAAGCACAATCTTAAGATTATTCTGAAGAGACAAGCCAGAGTAATCCTGTTAAAGAACAAAACTTGTCACTCCTCAGCTCAAAGCCCGTCATGATGTCCTAAGTCACCTGGAGGAAAGCCAAGACCCGACCACGCCCTCCACGGCCGCCGAGCCTGGGTCTCTCTTATTTCTCTGATCTCGCTCTCACTTTCTTTGCGCCAGCTCCACTGCCTTCATGATCTCCCTCCAGTATTGGCCTCAGGATCTTTGCACATGCTGTTCTCTCTTGCTGGAATAATCTTTCAGGCCTCTGTATGTCCTGCTTTCTTACTCCTTTTCATCTGACTTAATCATTTTCTCAGAGAGGTCTCTTTGACTCTCATTTCTAAATAGCCCCTCCCAGCTCTGCCTCATTGCTCTTCGGAAACACTCGCCACCACGCAGCATTATGGTGTGCAGCTGCCTGTCTGCTCACTCTCGCCCTACCAACAGGTGGCTATTTGAGGGCAGCAGTCATTTTACTTGTATTCCCAGAGCCTGATATACAGCAGATGCTCTGAGTATCTTATTGAGTACAGGGATGGACTGAGCCTCAGAGAGGCTTCCTGCCCTATCTCAGGCCACATGTGGGGCTGCCTAGGACCTGTCTGACACCCACACAGCTGCCTCTTGCTTGGCTTTCTTTTCCCAAGGGACCTGGATTATTCTCTCTTCAAGAGAGAGAATTATTCTCGCAGTTTCACAAAATTCAATCAAAAACACGTGGCTCAGCCCGGCGTGGTGGCTCATGCCCATAATCCCAGCAGTTTGGGAGGCTGAGGCAGGTGGATCACTTGAGGTCAGGAGTTAAAGAGCAGCCTGGCCAACATGGTGAAACCCCATCTCTACTAAAAATACAAAATTAGCTGGGCATGGTGGGCACCTGTAATCCCAGCTACTTGGGAGGCTGAGACAGGAGAATTGTTTGGACCTGGGAGGTGGAGGTTGCAGTGAGCTGAGATAGCACCACCACACTCCAGCCGGGGCCACAGAGCGAGACTCCACCTCAAGAAAAAAAAAAAAAAAGAACATGTGTCTGCTGCAGCCATTTTGGGAAGGAACACTTGCTCCCTCCCTCAGGAGTGTCAGGAGCAAAGTTGTAAGATGGCCAGGGTGAGGCTTCACCTCCTGGGCACAGGATCTGCTGCCTTGGCCCACAGAGGAAAAGTTCTGTTGGGTCCCCACTATGGTCTGACTGTGTCCCCTAAAATTCATGTGTTAGGACTTAAATCCCAATGTGATTGTGTTAAAAGGTGGGGGCTTGAGGACGTTATTATGAACCTTATGAAAGGGCTGGAGGGAATGTGTCAGGCCCTTTTTGCCTTTCCTGCATCTGAGGATGCAGTGACAAGATGCCATCTCAGAAGCAGAGAGCAGCCCTCACCAGACAGTGAATCTGCCAGTGCCTGACACTGCCCAGCCTCCAGAACTGTGAGAAAATCACCCAGTTTGTGATATTTTGTTATAGCAGCACAAAAGGACTTAGAGAGTCCCTGTCCCTCAGAAGTTGCTGCCCTTTTTGTGGGGCCTGGAGCCTTCAGCAGACACATGCTGTGATGGTTAATAGTGAGAGTCAACTTGATTGGATTGAAGGATGCAAAGGATTGTTCCTGGGTGTGTCTGCAAAGGAATCAGTGCTAGGAGAGGCAGACCCACCTCAGTCAGCTGCCAGAACCATCTAACCAGCTGCCAGCACTGCTAGAATAAAAGGGCAGAGGAACGTGGAAGGACTTCCGGCCGAGTCTTCCGGCCTCCATCTTTCTCCTTTGCTGGATGCTTCCTGCCCTCAGACATCGGACTCCATGTTCTTCAGCATTTGGACTCTTGAATCTACACCAGTGGTTTGCCAGGGGCTCTTGGGCCTTTGGCCACAGACTGAGGCTGCACTGCTGGCTTCCCTACTTTTGAGGTTTTGGGACTCAGACTGGCTTCCGTGCTTCTCAGCTTGCATATAGCCTATTGTGGGACTTCATCTTGTGATCATGTGAGTCAATTTTTAATAAACTGCCCTTCATATATGCATGTATCCTATTAGTCTTGTCCCTCTAGAGAACCCTAATACATATATTCACTGCCTCCCCTACCTTGCACACAAAATTAGGAGCCACAATCCTAACCCCTGGCTCTGCAGACAATGGCTCGTAATAAGGGGTGTTGGTAGGAAGGTGTTATGAGTCTGGCTTAAGAAGGGAGAGAAAGGAAGGAACTTAACAAAATGAAGATTTACTCTGCTCAGTTTTGGAGCTGGATCTCTCATGTGCAGGCTTATTTGTTGCCTCTGAGAAACAAGTCTATTCGATTCCTCTTTACAGAACAGAAGATCAAAATGGAGTGAGGTCACGCTACTAGGACGTGGCAGAGCTGGGAGTAAAACTCCCCTGAGCCACACGGTCTCTTGTTGGAACAGGCGTTGGGCTGGAGAGAAGAGGATGCGAGGCTAATAAGAGCAGGATCTGCTTGTGGATCACTAACGCTGCTGCCTGTTATTGACTAATTTAACGTTCACACTAACTCGAAGGTGTAGCTGCTATTACAGAGGAAGACACCGAGAGGGGCTAAGTTATTGGTCCAGTTTTTCTGGGCTGTGAGGCAAAGCGAAGTCGTATATCTGGCAAACTGATCCCAGAGCCTGTGTTTGTCATGTTGTGGTCACTATTGAGAAAGTAAGGACAAGAGAGAAAGTCAGGAGAATCCTGGCCACAGAGTCAATGGGGGGAAAAACCCCCAAATCCTCAGTCTACTTAAATAAATGAGGCTTAAACAAAAAGTCAGTGCCAGAGCTGGACAAAGACTGATGGGATAATATGGATGGGAGGAGCAAAATGACTTTGGGGTTGTCCCCAAGCCTTCCTGGCTAGGCTCTGGATCACTCAGGATGTTTATTGGCATCTGCTAGAAATAATTTCATTCCAGGGATCACACGACAAGCTGGTGTTACTGCAAGTGTGTGATTGAACTTAATCTGAGAAGAGAAATGCATCTTTAAGCACCTCTATGTACCAGCAATATGACAGACATTATATCATTTGATGCCCTATAGTCCACACCACAATAGCACTATTCATATGTTCATTTAACAAAAGATGAGGTTGAGGATTAGCGAGGTTCTGGAACACGTCAAGGCAAGTGAGGGAAAAACAGGAGAGTCAGGACTCACACCAAAGTGAAGCTGGCTAGCAGCTCGCGCTTACCCCAGGATCCACTGATTTCCTCACTATGTGCCTC